CTCCTCCTCCTCCTCCTCCTCCTCCTCCTCCTTCTCCTTCTCCTTCTTCTCCTTCCTTCCTTCCTTCCTTCCACCCTGCCCACATCCCCATCTGCCCGTATATCCCTCTCACTGACTGTATGTCCTTTTCCCGATGGCATGCCCATTCCACTAGTATGCTGCCATTGTATACCACCTGCACAGCCTTACCTGGCAGTGTGTGGTGGGGCGGGCTCTACGGCAGTGGGCCCTGCCAGAAACCCCGGGCCCCGGCAGCTGTCCACCTCAAGGTATGCAGCCACTGGCTCTGGATTGGTGGACCACATCTTCTGTTCAGCACTGGGTGACTCCGCCTCATTGCTGAGCTCGGGAGTCGACTGCGCAGCAACCATCTCTCACGAGGCTGTAGAAGAGGATAAATGAGCAGCAAATTGCAAAGTGCTTTGCACAATGGAAAGGGGGACGGAGATCATTAACGATAACGGAGTGGACTGTTAGATCCCTTTCTGAATTGCTCGGCCATGTTCCCCTGTGCAAAGGCATTTGGGGTAGTTATTTGAATGACAACGCAGGCCCGAACTAGTGAAGAAACACTCGTAGGGTTGCCAGCCTCCAGGTGGGGCCTGGGGATCTCCTGCTTCTACAACTGATCTCCAGCTGACAGCGATCAGCTCCCCTGGAGAAAATGGCTGCTTTGAAGGGTGGACTCTTTGGCATGTGCCATGCTGAGGCCCCTCCCCTCCCCAAGCCCCTCCCTCTCCTGGATCCAGCCCCAAAGTCTCCAGGTATTTTCCAGCCCAGACCTGGCAGCTCTAAACACTCGTTGTCTGTGCAGTCGTATAAAGTATTGTGCAAGAAGGGAAAACCTGGTCAGACTCCTTGACCAGGCATGAAATGATTGAAATGTGGTCATAACAAAATTAAAAAAAAAAACTTACAGTGATTTAGGAAGTCACCTGTTGAGGAACATAGAAAAATAGGCTGTAGCCGTGCTTCTCTTTCCCATATTGTCCTCTAAGTGTAAATAGCATGTTTGCTATTCAATGCCAGTCTGCTAGCAGCTGGCAAAGGTGAGATAGATTTTTTTCCCTGCTAGTAGCAGGAAATTGTTATGTATCAAACACTCCATGGCTTACAGAATGCCAGTGGGGGGGAGAGCGGGTGCTTGAAGTGGCGGACAAGATTGTGTTTGTGTTGTTGCTGATGGCTGGGGGTGCCAGCTCCAGGCTGGGGAATACCTGGAGATTTGGGGGGTGGATCCTGAGGAGGGCGGGGTTTGGAGAGGGGAGGAGAGGGACTTAAATGGGGTATCATACCGCAGACGCCAAAGCGGCCATTTTCTCCAGGTGAACTGATCTCTGTGGCCTGGAGTTCAGTTGCAATAGCAGGAGATCTCCAGCCATCGACTGGAGATTGGCAAGCCCACTGATGGCTGGTGTTCATACAGAAGGCAAGAGAATTTCAGCCTGTTGTCAGAAACTGCTGCCTATTTCAATCTTTTTGGTTGGTTGACATTAAATTAAGAGTAGCCTAAGTTGGCAGTGATGGGAGCGGCTGCCTGAATTGTTCAGACCTAACACCTGCATGGAGCTAAACTATTTCAGCCTGGAAACCCCTGTTCTGATTTTACTTTGCCTTGTGAAAATCGAACTTGTGATTGTTTATTGTCGTGCCATGTGTTTAGTCCCCTCCCGTAAAATGTACATATTTGTGCGGCGATATGTTAGCATTATGCACAGATTGCACAAAAATGCCACCCATTGTAGGTACTAATGATATATAGAATTTATACAACATGACCCCACATTATATATGAAGCTGCAATGTCAGCAGTGAAAAGAGCATTGAAACAGTTGATGAAAATGTGAACAAAAATTTAGAAAGAAGTTAAATACAGTGTTATGCCACATCT